AATGTACAGCATGCATTAATTTACATATGTATTTCACGTGTTTGTCTTGAGATTTGGAAGCTCGAGTTAACTATATTAGATGTATTGAAATTAACAATTTTTCGTGGTCTATCCATTTGAATGAAAACACGTCAACGTTACGATTTAATTTTTTGTCCAAAACAAAACATGATCAGAATCTGGCTTACAAGTTTAAAACTCAAATCGAGTTAAAATCTGGGACTGCGCACGGTGGATCCCGAAAAATCTAAATAATTGACTATTGAACGAGGTCTTTACTCCTAGTTGTCTGTTAGAGTTACTCGTTATTTTGTTGGTTTCCTTTTTTCGAAAAGTCAAAAGTTTCTCATGCATTCTACGACAAATCACGATGTTTTTCTCAGCTCTTTCTGTGGTGGGATGAACATGACGCAGAAGTTTGAGGTCGAACTCTTGAAGCACGTAAATCCTTCCAAAAGTTCCTCGTGTATTTCGTGTGGAGTTGAAATCTAAACATATGGGGTCTCTACTTCATAAGTTTCCTCACGAACTAACTCCATCCCTCGCACTGCCTCTAATGGTGAATCATATTCAATGTTTTTGAGAGGAAACCAACTCTGAAAATAGCAATGCAACAGTTAGAGCCATGCGATTACATCTCATCAGAGGAAATAAAATGGAACCAACTCATATTTCATGTCTAATTTTTACGGTCATTTCTGAAATACTTACATGGATATCAATGAAAATTATATTTTATTCTGTCCACTTTTAAAATATTAATTGAAGAGCATAGTGCGGAACTGGCCATTTGAAATTACTAAATTTAGGCACGGACTTAAATGTCTTAGAAGCAAGTTTTATTTTAAGGAACAATACTCATTCGCAACGATGATAAATTATTTTTTCCTAATATTTGTTCATATAAAAAACGTTGGGTCACCACGGGAGTTATGAAACAAAAACGCACAAATGTATTAAAAACAAATTCGCTATGCTATGTTGATATAAAATGCTAGGCTTCATGAAATTCGACTTTAGAATTTCTAATTCTTGATCATTATTTTTTCTTAAGTGGATTGATCTTCATGGAATTTTCTGCATTTTCTAAAATCTTTTAATTTTTTTTTGGATTTCCAGTCAGAACCGATGGCATTTCGTTGACTTTATCATGCCATAAGTACGGCACTCTTCCGTTGCAGAAATTCGTGCTGAATGCGTCGCTTTCGTCAGAAACTTTTAGGTAATACATCTTGATTAAACTTGGTATTGCACGGCCTGCAGATCAAAACGAAAAAAATTGGGTTCTTGATTTAAAAAGGTTGCCGCCGGTATATTCTGAGAGGATTCCGTGTACTCTCGAAGCCAGGTCGAAAAATCCCGAGGAATCGAATCTTACAGCTGCTGGGTCAACTTCTCAAATCCTGTTCAAACTTGTGGACGAATTCATGTGTCCTCATCCTATGGGCTTGAAATTCTATCCTTTAATCGTTCCTCTTGGAGAAGGCGGTTTAGAAAATGGTCAATTTCGACTGACATGGACTGTTCCGGCAGTAGGCACAGATTTCAAACCGTTTCCAGGTGAAATAATACACAATTGTGCCCAATTTAACCTTTTTTTATATTTTTGATTCGAAAGAGAAGCGAGCATTTTTTCACCTTAAGATAAATATGGTTCAAAAGGGTTTGTCAGTTTTAATTGGGATGGATAGATGTAATTGCCTAATTGTTTGCGAGTGATCGAAAATAACCCGACTTCAAGCCTATTATCCGTATTTACGGATTATCGTGATTGACGGATAGTAATTGGGCAATTAACTTCTCTTATTCTCTTCCAAGGGTTAATTGAATATTCTATGTTGCAAACGCATCTTACCAAGTATTCTAAAAGATCCAAATATGGTACAGTATTCTAATTGGACCGTGCATGGTTGTCAGATGTGAGACATTGTTCGTGCCACCCACGAAAATATTTCAAAAATTTGAATTGCGGAATTTTTCAGCTGAAAAAATACAATTTGAACAATGAAAAACGAATGTAAATTCACAAGAAAATAATCTACTGTATATCATTGATCATATCGGAGAGTATGTGCAGAGGGAAAGAAATTGCAACATTTGATTTATCACAAATAATATCTACGTATGTTCCTATTCCAGCAACAACAACAAAAACGAGGCAGACAAAAGACAGGTAACCCTGTCTTATTTAGATAATTTTTCTTGCAACATTGAACTAACTTAAATTGATAATTCCACGTGCAATGATGCCGAACCAGTTGCAACACTTTTCCATCCAATTCCCTTGCCAAATAGTTTTTCAGAGCGAGGGTCTCACAAGGCATGAATCATCCGCAAAATCTTCAAGTTGACTCGAGCTAAAGGCCATTAGCAGAGGAATTGAAAAAAAAAAACAGTTGACCATTTTCCGCAGTGAATTTGTATGAGATCAAGTGTGATCGTTGCGTCATTGAGGTGATCGGCCACAAGCACGCCCGCACTCCTGCAGACTCCCTGATTGATGGAAAGAAAATGTACATGCACATCGTAGATCTGAAAATCCGCAAAAAAACTTCCGACATGTGCGTCAGGCCGAAGGAGGAAGCCGTGTTACAAAACGGCACTGACATGAAAGCCTGTGAATGCAAGATTCGGGGCGAATTCACCCAAGACAACCACCGGGTTTGAATTTCTCCTTCCTTCCTCATTTTTATTTGGCAAAATTCTTTGCCAAGATTTCAAATTGTTTTGGACACTTTTCCGGAATATCTTAGTCACGGTGAAGACAGACTGGTGTATGAAGAAATTAAGTCGTTCTTTGTACAGATTTTTCTACAGCAGTTTTCCCACATGCAATAATGATCGTAAGCATTAGCTACTGTAATTGGATAAGATCCCGAAAAATGATTCCAATTCCTTTCTGCAATTGAAAAAATAATAATGCCCAGACGACCTCCGCACCCGGTGGCTTTGTATGCGAGAAAAAGGGGAATACTTTTGTGTTTTCCAATTTTAAGCCTAAATTCGGCTGCACTAGCTATGTTCAACAAAATAACCAGTTAATCGGAATAAAATAAAAAAAAGAGCTTTCATTAGTCACAAAGAAGTCATGAATATCTCCGAAAAACCCTCAAATCAATCTAGTCAACTTTGGATCTACAAAATCTGCAAAGCCTAATAAATGAATGCTTTAAAAAAATAAAAAATCCATTTGCTTCAAGTTCCCAAGAAATGGGTATTCTTCAAATGACCTATAAAGATCAGAAAATATGCACAAATGATTTTAAATTTAAATTTGAAATTATCATACCCAACATCAATAAAAACTTTGAAAAATTCATAATTCATAGAATCTTGTTCAGCAATTCGTTGGAATCAACGTAGTTATGAGAATAAAGTACTGTAAGCAGTTCAGTATTTATTTTCTTTTCGTCTTATATGGTACAGTATTTCATTATATACATGTTTTATATAGTTTATAGCATACTAAAATGCTTCATAAACAATGTTTTTCCCGCAGGAAATGCCATTAGTGCGTTAAAAAAGCGGCCCAATTTGTTTTGAGCCATTCCATATTCTCCGAAACAGTTATGTAAGAATAAGATTTTTCTGGTTCAACGTGTGGCTATGGAGTTTTTGATTTTGTGCCAAACTTGATTTTGCGAATAATGGTTCATCACGACTTTGGGCGTCACGTTTTCATTTTGAATTTGATTGGAATTCCGATCGATTGATGGGAGTTCCATGTTTCTTTCGGGAATTCATCAATAACTGAATCTTTCTTTCGATGGGCAAAAACTGTCCGACCATATTTGATCGCATGAGAAATTGTTTATGGGTTCATAGAAATATTTAGAGATTCATTGCCACAATCAATATGAAACTCCTTTTCCTCGCTTGAAGTTTCAAACGATGTGGTCTCGTGCTGCTGTTGTCCCCGAAGTCCCGAATCCAAAGCGACGCTGTTGGTTTGAATTCATCGGTAAATATCTGATTTGGCGAGCGAAAACCCAAAAATTCGTTTCTCGAGAAGCTGTCAGAAGTGACGTGATCCTCCATTATACCATTTTGTCAATCTTCATCGCATTGGGAACGATGCTCAACATTTTCTTCTGCTATAGTCTCAGCATGAATAAAGAGCGTCAATCTACGACGATTTCTGTCCAAACAGAAGATCCTCGTAAAGAAAGAGGTAATTGAGCGACGAAATTAGGAAAAGGGATTTTGGAATTATGCTTTTAGTTCCAATTGAAATATTCATCGAACAAGATCTCACCTAGCAACCTCCAACAGTTGAACCAGCGATTATGTTGTTTTTAACGAAATTATATTCGACCAAATTCACAATTATGGCATTTGCATTTTGCATGCGGAATTGAATTAAAATAGTATGAAAATTAAATGGTTCCGGTCAAAGTTATATTAGCAAACATCAAACATGTATTTTAAAAATCTGCAAAAATGTTCTGCGAGCCTCTTCTATATAGGTATCATTTTTATATGCTTCATTTTACTTTGGTGTGATTTTCAAGTCAAAATCACAAAGATTTTCAAGTGGGAATTCAAACCACGTCTTCCATTAATTGCGACTCCAGGCCTTATCCGAGGTTTCCATCGTATATAGTATATTTTCGAGGAAATGCGGCCGATTGAAATTGTGCAATTGAATATGTTGTTACTTTTTGCAGATGTTGAACCAAACACGGAATCCGATGCCATCGTTGTTCCCGTGACGGATACTTCTTTTTCCAACTCAGAAAAAGTGACACCATCAATAAGCATCTTAGCTAGACACAGATCTAGAAAACTGAAGGCGGAAGACAGCGGCACACGTTTAGCTTCGGTAAAGAAGTCTCCTGTGGTTACAAGAGTGACATCTAGGATCGAACGTTTAGATAATTCCGCGGCAGTTCGCGAAAGTTTCCCACCGACTCGCGTCCAGTCCGAAGTAACGACCCGAGAGTCTCCGCAGGGCTCCACATCGGACGATGTGCAAGACATTTCAGCAACGTGGTCATCATGGAAAGACCCGGATTTATTGTTGCTTCGAGCGCCATTTGATGATTCTCAACCGGAAGAATCCAAATCAACAGGAGCATTCACGAATGTTGGGGATGAGCATTCGGAGGACAAGTCCATGACAAGCTCAGACCCTGCTGCTGCTGATGATGATGATGATGACGAAGATCCCAGTGATGCTGTGACTATTCTTTTCCCCGAAAATGACCAGTCGCAGACAAATCACAGTTCTCCTGTTGCGTTTCCCAGCGCTAGAGAAAGGAAATCGCGATTCAGACGATTCCTCGCAGCGATCGGCGGCAGGTAAATCTGATTACGTCCGAATTTGTCCAAAATTCATTGATTTCTTACTTGTTTGTCGTAATTTCCAAGAAGACCACAACTGAGTGAAGAGAAGGATTTCGAAAGACACCCACTGAAGCCGACGGTTGAAATGACCACTCTTGCTTCCAGCAATGCTTTGCCGGACCAGAAGTCATAACACGTAATCAACTGTGGGACGAACATAGTAGTTTTCTCTCTTTTTTCGTTCGGAGAGGAAAGTGATTAATGAAACCTTCTTTAGAAGAGACATTTGCGATAAAAAATTTGCAGAAAATTGAAGCGCAGAAATGAAACCTTTCACTGAGCACATTTAGCCATCTATCTCTGAAATTGATGAAATCGAGTATTAACCTTATGCTAATTCATTTTTTTTTAACCTGTCATTTGTTTTTACACTATACAGTGGACCCTCAGTTGATGAATTCAATTGGTTCCAGACCAAGTGTTTTCAACCCAAAATTTTGTTAATTGAATTTGATTACCCCATAGACTTCAATGGCAAAGAATGTAATTGCTGGTTCTGTGTACCCAAAATACCGATTGTACATTGGATCTAAAAACAAACTTAAACCACCAACTATAATCGAAATATCATGTTTCTGCATCTTATGTGAGCCCAGAATGTTTTTACAGCGTTATATGAAAGTAGCACTGATCAAAACAAAGATAAAAAAGCTTCACATCTAGAAAAAGACACACTTCACAATATACATGTCAGGGGAAAATGAAATTTATTTTTTTAATGCAGCATGTCAAGATAAAATATAAATTTCTCACAATTGGAAAACTAGGAAAACCAAGCACTGAAAAGCAAATAAGCCCCTCACAGAAATCATATACGAATAATAGCTGAAACAAATTTAAAAACACAAGATTAAACATTTTCGAGTGCGAGAAGGCAAGAATTATCATATCAGTGCTTGAATGAATTGTTTTTACTTGGATTATGACATAAATTTCCAGCCTTAAAATCAAATTCTGAATTTTCAAGTTTGGGATTTCTTCCCAGAAAGAAGTTTTTTAACTGAATTTTGGTTTTTTAACTTCGGGATTTTTCCTCAAAACCAAAAGTTTCTCAACTGAAATGGTTGTTAACCAAGAAGTTTTTTAATCAATGGTACACTGCACTTGATATTTCAAAATTGTTTTCCTTAATCAGTTACCAATAAATTCTCATATTTATAAACATGCATCCATTAAATGTTCAAACTACAGTATTGTATCCTAACAGCAAACTGCTTCACAAAGCATTTCAATTTAATTCTCAGGAAAGTTAACCAAGTTAAGATAATTGAATAAATAAGAAACTGCTTATCAATAAAGTACTTCATAAGGTATTTGAAAGATACCTCACTAATTCATTATTTGATCAAAATGCATAAAGAATGTACTATTCAAAAATATTTTCCAAATCTTTTACACATTAAACCACGTTGATCAACTGCAAAGTCACGAAATTTGAAAATATGCATGCTTCCCAGACAGAAGTTTAAACGTTGCCGCCTTTCTATTAATAAATTAACCTTTTCACTGAGCACATACAGTTGTGGAATGTATCTGTGCTACTGTAATAGGTTTGATCATATTTTTCTTCATGAAAACTATGTTCTTCTTAATGAATCTAGGAAAACTTAAACAAGAGAAGATTAATCATGCACCAACACTCCAATTGCAGGCATATAGAAATCATATTTTACGTACAGTGTACGGACAAGTCATTGAACTGCGATCCATTCTCGTATGCTGAACTCTAAAATCTGATGAAGTGCCCTTTGATTCAGTGACGCCTATACAAGTGAGGAAAATAACATTTTCTACCTAACAAGTAGATGATTCCATTGACCAGAATAGAAAGTCAGCGTCTGTACGAGAGACAGAATTCACGCCTCTTGATGATGCGTCTCTTGCAATGAGATGACAGGCCTCGTGCTTCGCCATCAGTACCCCGTGTACCTCATTAAGCCAAAGCGGAAAATGCATCCACAAAATATAATAAAATAAAGTATCGAAGAACCTTTCTCGAAACGTCTGTTGCCACTTTTCATCAGCCACGTGTAAAGATCCCAGTCCAGAAACGCCGCCACGAACACATTTCTGTCAAATGAATATTCGCTCGCGTGATGCAATTTTTTGGATCGACGATAGTTGCTTCACCATCAGGAGTTGACCGAGTTTTCATCCACCTGACTTCATTTTTTATTTGTGTGTTGATGGATTTATATGAAAGTCACTGAATCGAAAGGTTTCACTTGCGCGTTGAGAAAAAACCCGATTCTCTCAGACAAGGTGACTCGGTTGACGAGCTGCAGTCAGTCCTGCGGCTGAAATATTGCTGTCGACGGGGATTTTGACACAAGTACCGAAGTACTTTTCAATCAACTAGTCTTTAAGATGTCCATCCTGCGGCATTTCAACACCCTCATTGATCTCATCAGCCACAGACCGGTACAAATATCATCGGGCAGACGGTTTCACGCATATCCTGGTTTTTTCGAATTTTTTTTTTACATTAAATAAAAACGGAAAGTTAACTAGTGCATACTGAGAAATGGAAAGTACAGTCATTTTAACAAAGCATTTATTATCTGGGACGCTTGTACGAGTTAAATGGCAAAAAAAATATGACTGATGGAAATGTGCCATCGATCAAATTTGGCATCGGTTTTTCATCCGAAAATTCCTCATTTATAAGTGCTGCCTTGATCTTTTGTGGTTAACACACTTTCACCAGTACAATGTTGAATATTTACTGAACGCTATTGACATTTTACAAACAAATGATTTCCTTATTTTTAGATGAATCGTGATGAAGATTCAATAACGCCTGAAACTGATGTCCCTGTATGCGATGAGTATTGCAAAGAACATTCAGTTTAAGAAATTAAGGGGATAACAATTTGTGGAGGTCGAAATTAACTGATGTACGGTTTTTGAAGCATTTTCTGGCTTTGAATTTCAAACGCAGCATTGTGTGTACCACATCCCGAAGTAAAATGTCCTCCCTGATATACAGTATATTATTTTTATGAAACAAAAAAAATTAATAATGGCAGTACGGCGTGATCGTATAATTTTCAAAAGAAATCACACGGAAAGCTGATACCTCTTCAGTAATACTAATGTAGTTATTTTTCGATTTCTAATCGTGTTCTCTTCAATTTACGTTCCAATCCTCCATCGGAACACAAATAAACACCAGAAATATTTGACTCTAGATTTAGAGTTTTAGACGTACTGTAGGAAAACTGGTGAAAAAGACTTTTCGAACTGTCTTATTAACAACCACCAACAAAACTCTGAATTTAAAGTCGGAAGAAGAAAGAAAATTCATATAATTCCTGTGACAGAAGCATCCGTGCTTGAAGATGTATGGATTAACGACGGCTACGATCTGATTCTATTATGCAGGCGAGACATGGATGAAAAATTCACCGTTCGAATCTGTAAGACGCAATGAAGGTATTACATTACTTTCGAATTTCCCAGGGTGAGAAATGCAATGAAAACTTTTGCAAAAGCATTTTCTAGAAAGAAAATTGGACTTCGGATAAGATGGAGAAGACCGTGAAATTCAACATTCAAATAATACTTTTCAAGGTGCATACATTTTATTTGAACTTTTTGTGGTAATTTTTCTGAATGTTACACCAGGTTTCCTTAACGAGCATACCAGCAGTCTGACCTTCAAAACTTTGTATTTTTTAATCTCGGTATAAAATGAGTACCATAATTTGAATGACTCACAAAGCTAACAAATAATGAAGGCAATTCCGGAGTTTTCTGCAAAGCGCGAAATTTTTCCGTAACCAACCAGAAAACCGAGGAATTCATTCCTAGCACGTATTGCGCATTTCCTTGGGGCATTTTCTAGGACTTGGGAATACTTTTCTTATTCCTTTTCTGATGAATTGTAAGCTGGAACTTCCCGTGTTCCGAAAAGCAGCTACGTGTTGTATCATGAAAATGCGAGGTGAGGTCAGCTAAAGTTTTTTTTTCAAACATGTGAATGACAGAAATGCGCAGCTAATGATTGTTTTTGGCAATGCGTTGTTTTCAGCTGTTGTATAAGTTTATAAAACTATTTGTACATTTATTGAGATTTTCGGCATGCTTGCTATAATAGCCCATTCTCTGACTGAAATTAATCCCAAGTCAAGCAGAATTTTAAAAATTTTGGCAATTTATTGATAATTTACGGTTGTTAATAGCCCATTCAAGCATTCGTCGAGTTCAATTTCAATCAATAACTGATTGTTTGAGGATATTCTATCATAGATAGGCAGATTTTCTGTCTATCCTTTCGAAATCATATCCTTTTCTTGTGAACTCCGTGTACCACGCTGCTGTCTGGTATTTGAAGCCCATGCAGAGCTTTCTTTAAAAAAATTCTTCTGAGTTTTCAGTAAAATCAAAGTCTCATAATTTACCCATTCATGGAATGCCCGCATGAAACACTTGAATGCGCATCGAATGTGCGTGCGAACATGTGAATACGTCTGTAATTATGCACCAAATTCCGGTCAGGGACGCATTCCCATCTGGAGTGGTGGTGGGTAACAGGACACATGTGATGCAATGCATAAGCCTGGCTTTCAGAAGAACAATGTGCTGTTTGCACTTTCTTGCCTGAGACTTTTTCCTCGTTTCCAGCGGTATTTTGTGCGCAACACAGGACGAGCTGACAGTCTAATGTGTTTACTCGACAGTATGGGTCGCAACATTCCTTTATTTTGCTCATAAACAAAAGGAATGGCCTTTAGTTAAGATGGAATAACTTGAAACATATTCATATTCATTTAAAGTATTACTGTACACGCGTTTGCGAGATATTTTCCCATATTTCTGCTCATGTTAAAAAAATTTGAATTTTGAACAAACGATTTTCAGGTTTTGAAATTCCTTTGTAAATTATCCAGCGTAATTCAGTCGGTAACATGCTGATTTTTTTAATGCGAAATTTTTTTCCAAAAACTAAGAGACTTCCGGTGAAANCAATGAAAACTTTTGCAAAAGCATTTTCTAGAAAGAAAATTGGACTTCGGATAAGATGGAGAAGACCGTGAAATTCAACATTCAAATAATACTTTTCAAGGTGCATACATTTTATTTGAACTTTTTGTGGTAATTTTTCTGAATGTTACACCAGGTTTCCTTAACGAGCATACCAGCAGTCTGACCTTCAAAACTTTGTATTTTTTAATCTCGGTATAAAATGAGTACCATAATTTGAATGACTCACAAAGCTAACAAATAATGAAGGCAATTCCGGAGTTTTCTGCAAAGCGCGAAATTTTTCCGTAACCAACCAGAAAACCGAGGAATTCATTCCTAGCACGTATTGCGCATTTCCTTGGGGCATTTTCAAGGACTTGCGGAATACTTTTCTTAGTCCTTTTCTGATGAATTGTAAGCTGGAACTTCCCGTGTTCCGAAAAGCAGCTACGTGTTGTATCATGAAAATGCGAGGTGAGGTCAGCTAAAGTTTTTTTTTTTTCAAACATGTGAATGACAGAAATGCGCAGCTAATGATTGTTTT